GATGATGTGCAATTTTAATTATGTACCTTTATTCTTAAATTTTTAAATGTTTTTATCTGTCTGTAAGCCGCCCAGAGTCAGAGTGGGCGGCATACAAATTTTATTAAATTGGAAATTGGAATTCATATTTTTATTGATTCCTATTTGTAGGAGAAAGAGTAGCAGAGTTTGGGGGTTGAGTCAAAAGAGTAATCAGCTTAGAGTCTCTATGTTGCCACAAACAGCCTAAGTCCAACCCTCTTGAGTCCTATTAACCCTTTAACTAGTGCACAAATAGTACTAACTGTTAGTTGACTAGATTCCTGTGTATAGGCATGAGCAATAAATCAGTTTAATTGTCTATGGGGCTTCTCAGTCATCCAGGTGATGGTGGTCCCAAAGGTGCTTTTTCAAGAGGCAACTGGACATTCTTGTTTTTCTTTCAAGAAGTTTTGCTTCTCATCCAAGAAGCTTCTTCAACCTGGATGAGAAGTGAAACATCTTCAAAGAAAATCAAGAAAGTCCAGCTGTCTCTTGAAAAACCATCTTCCCAATTTTGTCCCAATCAGTTTAATTGGAACTTAATGTTTGGCCCTGGTCTTTTGCACCTGACTCTTCTGCAGCCACCATTTTTTCTTGTTTTGGAAAGGAAGTGCAAATACAGGTAGTCCTCAGCTTGTGCCTGAAATTGAGCCTCGAATTACAGTCATAGTTGTTGTGGTTGTTATATGAGTCATCATGTAACCACACCCAATTTTATGATCTTTTTTGTGGGTTGTCATTAAGCCAATGCTGCTATCGTTGAATTAAACAGCTGTCATTAAGCAAATCTGTTTTATGGGCACCACCACCCCGAAACAGGAAGAAAATGTTAGAAGCCTGCAAAAAAAGTTGGAAAATGCAGTCATGTGACTATGGATCCCTGCAAACAGCTGTAAATGTGAGTTGTTTGCCAAGCACTCAAATGCGAACACATGACTGAAGTGTGTGTGTATGAGATTGTTGAAACTATGAAATTTGATCATAAGTATTTTTGGGGAGGGAGGTCCATTATAGCTTCAAACAGTTGTAAGGTGACCTGTCATTAATCAAGGACTACTTATATTCTGAACTATGCTAGAATGCACTCAAGTACAGTTAGTCCTTGACTTACAACAGTTCATTTAGTGACCATTCAAAATTAGATGGAACAGTGGAACTGAACAAAATGACTTATGGCCATTTTTCACATTTATGACCATTGCAATAGCCCCACGGTTGCATGAATAAAATTTGGATGCTTGCCAATTGATTCATATTTATGACCGTTACAGTGTCCCTGGGTCATTTGATCCCCTTTTGTGANGGCAAGCCACTCCCACAAAGGAAGCCACACCCACAGAGTAGGTTCCAACAATTTTTGAAACCCACCACTGCTCTCCGGATAATTAGCAAGTTCTGTTGTTGTTTTTTTCCTCCAACTCGTTGGCTTCTTTAACACATTCCACTCATGAGCAAAGTTTATATAATTTAAATTTGGTTCATTTAGAATATTTGTGCATTGGTTCTTCATGCATTTGGTTTGCACAGAAGGATCCTGTCACACCCAAAGAATGAGATCCTTGTTCCAAATTGAGTTCCTTAACTTTTCTTATAGATATAATCTTGGTCAGACTGAACATTTTACTACCTGCATCTACCATATTATCTGAGGACTGCTAGGGAGGGGCTGTCTTCACCCTCTTTATCTCACACAAAATATCTGGACTGAGTTTTCTCTTATTCTTGGAAAATTCCCCCTCCCTCCTGGAATCCAGCTGACTTCATTCCATCATATCTCTCCAGTTTTTTTCTGGCTTTCCTCCAAAGTTCACTCTGAAAGTAGATCCGTGTATTGGTCATCGTTTTAAAATACATCTCTCTAAGAATGAAGCACATCAGAAACATTTCAGTGCGTATTAGATGCAGTTAATTGCAGCAGATATTATTCAATCTTAACAACTTTTCTCTTTCAGTCTGACCAGAATAATGGGTGTGAAGTTTATCCCTTTTGATCTCTAACTTACATATTTTGCTTTCTTGCCAATTGAGAAGGATTTAACTGCATATCTATGGAGATTCTCAATTATCCAAGTCATGGTTGTCCCAAAGATGCTTTTTCAAGAGACAATTGGGCTTTCTGGTTTTCCTTTGAAGACATTTCACTTCTCATCCAAGAAACTTCTTCAGCTCTGATTGGATGGTGGGAAATGCAGATTTAACTGCATGTGTAAACAGGAACTAAAGTGGAAACATGTCCAGCAAAGATGAGGTCTATTTGAGGAGTCTTGTTTTTCTACCATCTTTGATTTAAGAATTCATGCCTCTCTGTGTAGTTGTCAGCATTCCAAGTATCATGTAGAATTAAATCAGAGTCCAAGGCAAAACGATCCTTAAAGTTCCAATTTAATAAAGCAGACCTCTTAGCACATNCAAATAACTTTATTAAGAAATCTAAATGAAAAGAATAATTTTTTGTAGTTTTATAAAAACTACAAAAAAATAAACAGAAAAATACAAAAACAAATGGGAGTGAAACAGGAAAAAACAAAGAGAAAAGAAGTAACTTCCTGATTATCCCAGGAGGTAATAACAATTTTAACAGCACAATATCTAAATAAAACATAATCTTCATTCAAATATGGCCTGTCAGTTTTGTCAAGCCTTTGATCTATTCTGTCCAAAAACTTGGGTAAAAGATATTCAAAAGTTTGCACTAAGGATTTCTGCTCCATTTTTCCCACTTTAGCTCTACTATCCAGCCTTCAAGATCTCCTTACCATTAAAAAAAAAAACCCTGAAAGCAATCTCCATTTTTCCCATTATATATCTTCTAAATAATTCAGAACTATAATCCCAAATCCCTTGGCCTCTTAATCTGTTATTAACTTTCCAAAACCCATCTACTAAGCACCTTTTTGCTGCGTAGTCCCAAAAAAAATAATCATACATTTTTAAAACTTTTAAAGTCAAATTTAGATCATCATCTTTTAAACAGGCAGACCCTCCTCGAATGAATACAGTAAAATCTTGCCAGTCTGAAGGATCTTAATTTCTCTTAATATGGAAAAAAAAATCAAAAAAAAAATCAAAGAAGTGATTAAGATAAAAGGCTCAGTCAGGCTGCAAAGACTACTTTGCAAGTGTGTGTTTGATATTGTCCCAACTCTCAATCTCTGAACATATAAGTTGACCATAAAAAATAGCAGTTTCTATTGTCCTCTCATGAGGAGCAGCGGTCTGAAGTCATGTAAACAATCTTGGCAATCTCTCCTTTGGTCAGGGGAGATTACACTGATTTGGATCCAGCATCCATTAGCGATTCCCCTCACAAAAGCTATCTTACTAGTCAGCAAAAGCCAACAAGGCTTCAGCTTGCCATTTATTTATTTTATTTTATTAATTAGACTTATATACCGCTTCATAGGGCTTTCAGCCCTCTCTAAGCGGTTTGCAGAGTCAGCATATCGCCCCCAAAAATCCGGGTCCTCATTTTACCCACCTCGGAAGGANGGTCACATGGCCGGCAAGCCACTCCCACAAAGGAGGCCACACCCACAGAGTAGGTTTGAAAAAATTTTGAAACCCAAAAAACCCACTGGGTAGAAACATGTCATTCTGTCTGTCTACCTACCCTCTCTGTCTTTTTCTCTCTCACTTAAGTTCTTGCTTGCTGTACTTGTGTTCTCTGCAGCATTTGGTAATGCCCTCCATTCTCTGGATGGAGCAACATCTCGGGGAGATTTTGTGGCTCTGCTGGATCATTTTGGCAACCACTATATCCAGGAAGCTGTCTATGGATTTGAGGAATCCTGCTCTATCTGGTATCCCAACAAGCAAGTGCAAAAACAGCTCTGGCTGGAATATGAAGATATTAGCAAAGGTAAGCTTCATTTCTGCCACCTTCTTTACACTGGGACACCATAGGGCAGAGAAACGCAAGTACCAGTAGTGTGGAGAGGTGATAGTAAAGATTCTGTTGTGGCCGGGAAAATTCTGCACTTGGAACTATTTTGAAGAGGTTGCTTCATCTGCATCATAAACTTTGATGGCAGTGTTTGCCTTTTAACAGCTCTCAGGGGTTGTAAAGGGGATGAAAGGAAGAACATTTGAAGGGCAGAAAGTTTCGGGCAAAGAAGAAAATTGTGCTGGATTGGAAATCTTACTTGAACCTGGATGTCAGAGCAGATATAACTGTGACAAGCTTCTGTTCCACCCTCAGAGATGTGTCCACCTGTTTTTTCAAGAGTTGCACCAGCTACAACTCCGTGGCAGGAAAGTAGAGTTGTGATTGTCATCTGGGATACTCTGCAGGTGATCAGGGTGTTGTTGTTGTTTAGATAATTTGTGAGTTATTGTTTGTTGGAGACTTGGCTCCAGAGGAAACGTTAGGGCATTGCTTTTTACTGGCCTCCATGTTATACAACTTCATCCCTACTTGAGTTTCTTTACTTTGACACTGCTTGGAACTGGAATCAGCAATTAGTAACTTTTTTTTAATAAGATGTAAGGTTTCAATTTGCTTACTGGGGGTGGGGGGAAATCTCATGGTCACCATGACAACTGTGAGTTGGCCTGCGGTATCTGTTGTGGTCCAGCAGGAGCCATTGGAGCTGCCACCAGACTCCGACAGCGAGGGGCCCTATGAATCGGCTTTGGAGGATGTGGAGGACCCTGGACAGGGTTCTGACTCCGAGCAGGGCGCAGA